TGATGGTTGTTCAGCAGCAGCGAACAGTTCGCTGGGTGGCGGGACTTTTTAATTTCGGCGAGTTGGCGGGTGTTGTTCATCGTAACTGGCGAGGGTCTATGCTGGACCACGTGACTTTGCCTTTGGATTACATAGTTGGACAATTTTTGGGGTTTTTGTTTTTATTATTAATAATAAATTATATTAAAATGGGCAAAGCGAGTTGTGACATTCGGCCCCGAAACTGTAATTTTGCAGATGGTGTTTGACGGCACCAGGACTTTTTTTTTTATTTCGGCGAGTCAGCGGGCGTAGATCATTATGATTTACAAGGATTTACATCGCTGGATGACATGATTGACCTTTGGATTACATCGTTGGACAATTGTTTTTCTCCATAATAAAGGAATTGCCAAAAATTGTCTTTTGTTTTTTGTTCAAATAAAGGACTTTTTCAAGGTGTTGTGTTTTTATTTACTATTTTGTGTACTATTTGGTGAATGAGTAGGGGTAACAACTACCTCTTGTTTATTCACAAGGTGGGGTGGCATTTGAGTGGCACCTAGATGCAGATGAGCCCCCCTATCCACTGACGCCCCACAACCACCGGGCCAGGGTTGTGGGTGTTGGAAATGCAACAACATGTGCTAATATACACCAATTGTGTTGCTGGCTGTAACTATGTCTTTTGAGCAGTAGATGGCGCTGTAGTGTAATGTTAGTCTATGCTAATTTTTTTATATGCATGCTTACATCTATGATCTATATTAGGGATGCACAGATACCGATACTAGTATCAGTATCGGTGCCGATGCTGAGTATTTGGGTGAGTACTCGTACTAGCCCAAATGCACCGATGCCTAGGCAGATTCTTGAGCTTCCGGTTCCTGATTGGTCAGAAAGCTTGCCAATCAGGAAGCCAGGTGCCGTGTAATGACACAGCACCTGGCTTTCTGATTGGCCAGAAAGCCGGCTTCATGCTCCTTCGGCACCTAGTGACGAGAAGTCTGGAGACGGCTTCTCTGCTTATCGGGAAACCAGGTGGTGAGTCTTTACACACCGCCACCTGGCTTCCATGTAATTAGGAAGCCCTGTGGCGGGTCATTACACGCCGCCTGGCTTCCTTAATGAGACTTCCGGTATCGGTGAGTACCGGAAAAATTATATCAGTACTCGATACTGAAAACCCGATAGAGGTGCATCCCTAATCTATATGTTTGATCTCTACAATGCTGTATACACACATGTAATGTCCTGCTAACCAAGTAAAACTTAAGTAAGCATTCCTGAAGACCTCAGTGCTTCATGTAAACACATAACCAACAGCGGGGAAGATGCTCTTGTCCTCATCAACATGGGGAAAAGGTGCTTTTCCAGAGTGTTCCCCCTGGAAAAGCACCCTCCCAATGTCAAGGGCATGTGGCCTGGTATGGTGGAGGGGGGGGGGCACTCTCTTCCCCCCCTCCTCCCCCTTTCTTGCTCTGCCAGGCTACTGCTCGGATTATGTGTCTGGTATGGATTTTGTTTTTGGTGATGGGGTCCCCCTTAAAATTTCTACTAGACCTAAAGGGTCTAAAACAGTTAGGTTTGGAAACAGTTTACAGTTAGATCTCTGCTGCCTGGATTGATTGGTGAGTATTTTTGTACTATTCATTTAGGTTGTGTTCACACACTTACGAATAGCAGAAATGTGTGTTACTGCAACGCATGCCAATGCACCACGTCTATGTTCTGTACATGTTCTGTCTATGGCTGTACATTGAGGTGACATTCATTGTAAATGTCACTCAAAGGCATTGTACAGTTAACGCAAATGCATAATGCACATAAATGCGTTGTGGTATACTGTGTTGCTTAAAAGGGCCCTGTGCCTTTCTTCATACATTGTGGTGCGTTGGCAGCCCATTCGTAGTGAATGGGCTGCCTTAACGCAATGTATATTAACATGGGACATAATGCACCTGCATTACTGTGCCGCAACAGGTTGCTTAAGTGTGCTGAATTTTTCTACTAGTTCTAAATTGATTTAAGCAGCTGCCTAGTTTTGTTTCCTAGATGTATGTGTCTTCATCTAACAAACCTGATTTTGTTTTTATCGCAGGTCCTGCAATGAAATTTCTAGAGATCTTCTGTAAAACGCCATTGGGAAAATATGTCTCCTCTGAGGAAGAGAACACACAACACAAACTTTTCCTGATTTACAAGAGAGATTTTATCCTTATGACCATGAGCATATCCTCTGCTGAAGAGTTAAAGGTACTAGTAGTAGTAGTGTTCCAAAAAATGCAATTGAGGCTGGGGTTCATGCACGCCAAAGAGCTAGCAAAAAGAAAAAGCCAAAATATTCTTAAATTTGTATAAAAATACTTCTGGAGTGCTGTTTTGCTCTAGTTGCTCACATGCGGCGTGAAGACCTGCAGCCTGGTTGTCAGCATAAACAGCCCCTAAGGATTAAGCCACTTAACCCCTTAGTGACAGGAGATGTACACTGTACGTCCCCGCCACTAAGTGCCCAAATGACTAATCGCGTACACTGTACGTGATCAGCTATTTGGGGCTATGTAATGTTGGCAACAGCTGAGAATCAGCAGTTACCTTAATTAACGGATGCCTCCGTTTTGACGCATCCATTAATGAAAGAGTTAAGCCTTTCAGGAATCAGGTGTCTGACACAGAACACCTCCCAGTGATTTCCTCCTCTCAGGTACAGATTCTCATTGCATTCTCAGGAGTTGAAAGCAGTCAATTCATCCAAATGGCCCATGCCGCCCCGGTACAGTTGATACCCATGTAAGAGGCTGCCCTGACCCCTCACATGGGTACCGGCCATACCCCCCCTGATGGCGGTGTTCTATCACGGTTTGTGACTACGTTAGAATGTGTGACCGGTGACGTGGTCACACGTTTTAACGTAATCCCGCCCAGTTTTTTTGCGGTGGAAGGTGTGACTGCCAATAGGTGAAGCATTTGAGCGCTTTCCCAGCTGTTCCAGGGCAGATAGGCGTCGCAGATCGTATGTTCAGGAGAACCGATCTGCCCTGAAACACATGTCACTTCTATCCGACTGCGATCTCACATTCCACTGCACTCACAAAGTCGGATAGAAGTGACATTTCAGGACCGATCAGCTGTTCCAGGGCAGATCAGTTCTCATGCACATGCAATTTGCGATGACGATCTGCCCTGGAACAGATGAAAAAGTGTTGGAATTCTTCACCTATTCCACCGCCGAAAAACTGGGCGAGATTACGTTAAAATGTGTGACCATGTCACCGGTCACACATTGTAACGTGGTCTCAAATTTGGATAGAACAGAGGCTCTGTTTGTAATAATTTAATCAGATAAATAGATTATAATAGGGGACATTACAGTGTAATATTCCCCATTATAATCCACTTGTCTAATTACATTACCGCACACAACCCTCACCAACAAAACCGCCCCCCTCCCTTGTACAGTCTTATTCCACATATCAGACAGATTGTCAGACATTTCTGCTTTGTTTGCTTCATAATACTCTAAAAGGTTCAAAGAAGGTTTAATTGTACGTTTGGGTCTAGCAGATATTTCTTCCTGTTAAGAATCAGCATTATCTTGGGGAAGAGAAGATGGCTCTGTGTCTAACTGTAATGAATGTACAGATTCTTGTGATATAATGTGGATTTCAGTAGTGTAGGTATGCAGAAAACCAGCTTGTGAATTGTACAGTGCAGTTCAGCACACAGAAATTGTATATGCACAGCTCTCCAGCCTGTACTGATGTGCCTTGCGTTCCAGTGCGAGCGATAGCGTTGTGGCCAGACGTTGTGGCTGCAGTGCAATTGACTTCAATGCACCGCCACGCCCCCTCCTGCCTCAAAACAAAGTGAGCCATCCGGAATGCGATCCAGTACGGATAGTATGACAAAATGCATTCTTATCTTTGTTTATATCAGGTTAGACAGAGACCATCTCACTTCAGTGAGGGATGAAGCAGAAAGGAAGTAGAGAAGAGGGGCTGGGAGGATCTAGAAGAAGACTGTACCAATGTACAGAAAACAGTAGGGTGTGAATGGAAGATACCAAAGTATACAGACTAGGCTGTAACAATGCTAATCTACCACTAGCAGCTAGGAATACAGCACAACACAATGTAATGCAATGAAATACATATGCAATGTAACTGAAACAGCAGAAATATTAAAATGACACTGGCTGTGGCAGCACGGCAATCATGGGCATGTCTGATGATGTGGTTGGCAGTCCATGAATGCAATGTTGAAGGAGTATTGTTATATGCATTTACAACTGCTAGATGATTGGTGTGTTTGGGTGTTTAGTAAATGTGTTATACAGGCCTCTCCATGTGCCAACAATTTTGTCCTTAATTAGATAAATTAGTGGTAGTAATTACAGGCTTTATTACAAATCCTGGAGCATTACACTAGTGTACATCTACTACAATAGAAAGCTACGGACATACTATCAAATTCAAGTGAACAGGTCAAGAAAATGTACACGAAGCGTGACACATGTCAGAATTACTGAATTGCATTCCTATTTTACATTTAAAAAAGTAACACTTACCTGCCATAATTTGGAACCTTTCGCTCCCCTTCTCCCAACCTAGGCAGCCTAGATCACATGCTGTCTGACTACTAGTCATCATCATCTATTGTTTGCCGTGAGATAAATGGCTACCCTTTTGCTCTGTATAGACAAAGCACAGGTTCACTTTAAGAATTAGCACCTAAGAAATAAATACTCTTTCTTGAATAGAACTGCTTAAGTACAATTTGGACATAACTTTGGAACCATAACTGTATCTAGGGCTATTACAATTGCAACAGAGAGAATCTGGAGTAAAAGAGAAAATCTGGGGGATTTTTATTTTTGTCAGAACACTTCTGTTATAATGGAACATTTTAGCCAACTCCCTTTCTATCCTCAGCCCGTGGAGCTAAAACAAGCTGACATTAGGAGTTGCTGAGTATGGGGAGACATGTTGTTAACAGTGCATGTGACATGCTGAGGCAAGAATCATGTTTAAGGCTGTTAACAGTGCATGTTGTTAACAGTGCATGTGACATGCTGAGGCAAGAATCATGTTTAAGGACTCATTCACACCAATGCGGTGCATTCCAGGGCGGCAGCTGCTGGAACGCAGAGCAATCACAAAAAAAATGCTGCATACTCTATTTTTTGCGTTCACAATGGACCTGCACGCAGACAATGTTTTTCCATGCGTCCGATCGCGCGGGGGGGGCTGGCTGTTGTGCCATTGACTTCAATCCAACGCCACACCCCCTCCTGATCCAGAAAAAAGAGGGAAGTTTAGTGAGCGATTGCTGTGCGTTCCAGCAGCTGCTGCTCTGGAACGCACCGCAATTGGTGTGAATGAGCCCTAAACAAAATGTCCTATTGTTATTATTAAATGTGTTACTTAATTTAATAAGCAAGCTACACCTTGCGCTTACCAATATTGAGCATATACTTTTTATATCTTATAGATCATGGAGTTTGCTCTTTCTGCATGTATCGAAGAATTAAGATCCTCCACAAAATCTAAGGAACCCTTACAGCTTCCATGGGTCCATATTGGATATAGTAAATTTCAACACAGGCTGCAAAACCTGAACAGGATTTTGGTGATCAACCCCTCAGTGTTGGGCTTCTTCCTTCAAAACATCACGGATCCCAAGCCAATGCTAAGGAATGAGATGGTGAGAACATTGTGTCACATGGAACTCTTGGTGTTCAGGCTAGAAATAGGTCTGTCTGATTCTTTGTGTTTTGCTCATTGGGGTCCTGAAATGTCACTTCTATCCAACATTGTGAAATGTCAGATCGCACTGACAAAGTCGGATAGAAGTTACATTTCAGGACCCATCAGCTGTTTCAGGACAGATCGGTTCTCCTGCACATACCATCTGCCCTGGAACAGCTGAAAAAGCTTTGAATTCTACATCTTTTGCCGGTCACAGACTTTACACCGGAAAAAATGGGCATGACTGTTTGACCACGTGACCGGTCCCACATTCCAACCAAGTCACAATCTTTGATAGAACACCGGCACAGACCAGTGTTTACAGGTGGAAGAACACCCAAATCCCATGTTTCCTTTTTTCCTTTAAAAAAACAAGGCTGCTATTGGGCCCTGAATTTTTTTAGCTGATATAGCAAATTCCTGCATCTCATAATTTTGTTCTTTTTCTAGGTTCTTGACATCTATGCTGCCATTGCTTGTCTAGAATCATTGAAACACACCATGCAGAGATCTGACCCTCAAGAATGGATGCGACAAGTAAAAACCATACAAATGCCCATTGAATTGACCTGCTCGGAAGGATATTTACAGGGACAGGGTGCTTGGTGTGAAACAGAAATAAAACAGATCAGGTACTTTAGGATGGGCATAATAATAAATGCAATTTGTTATAACCAGACTCTAGGCAGAGGTCAAAAAGACACACGTTAATGCAGCTCTTTATTCATTATTGCATGATTAAATGTATTTTGATTTAAATGCAAGCAGTGCCGTTAGCTGCATTTGATTTAATGTTAGTATCTTGCTGTTTACTTGCCCATCAAAACTCCAGGGGTGGGAGAAGCAGCACAAAGAGCCTGTAAGGTGTTTCACTGTGCAAGGTGCATGTTGATGGAATGACAGGGCAGAGTGACGAAGAGAACAGTGTGTTGCTTCTTCTTTCACTGTCTAGTCACAGGGTGGGGGTGGGGAGGAGAACTGGTACTGCAGCAGAGAAAAAACAGTTCTTCACACTGGGAGGGACTATGCTGTGTGGTAGAACTTTGTTAATCTCAGGACTTGGACAAAAATACAAATCCTTTGGCAGCTAAACCAGTTCTCACACATGTATTTTATCTGTGTATTGAGTGGTTCACCTGGATTTCAGCTTTAGCATTACCAGGTGTGCATTTAGCTGTTGGTCCAGGTTTTTACTTTAAAGGAGAACTATGAGGTGAGTGCTTTTCACTCACCTCATAATTCTACCCGACCTGTGACAATGAGACTGTCACAGGTCGGCTCAGTAGACCGGCGTTCGCTCACCTATCGATCCTGTCACAGCCCTCTGCCGTGACAGGGGAGGGGCTGGATTCCCCCCTTCCCCGCTCCCCGCGCTGACTGGCGGATCGGAGGGGGGCGGGTACAGCTGGCTTTGCCTCTAGATAGGCAGAGCCAGCTGTCACTCACGCAGCTGGGCGGATCCAGACATAAATGTCGGGATCCGCTGCAGCTGCGGCGTCTCAGTATACCGCGAGAAGTAGCTCGCAGTATACTGCGGCATCTCAGTATACCGCCAGCTGTAGCTCGCGGTATAATGAGCTTAGGGTGACAGGAGGACGCTAGTTTGTGTCCTCCTGTTACCCTAAGGAGAACTTTGGGGAAAAGCCTTAACCCCATAGTTCTTCTTTAAAGACCGTGTCTCTGTTCCAAGCTGGATCACCAGATATCATACCCTCAACTCTATACAATGTCTTAAACCTCAACTGGAACATAACTACCTGGACCCAAAAGCTTCCCAGCACTCCGCCCTGTAAATCAGCTAGGTAAAAGTAATTTCTGATGATTCAGAGATTGCAGTTTGCATACATTTGCAAACATATGGAAAAGCCACATGACAACATAAAACATCTCTATACTGTGAGGCCTTCTCTATTTTATATAAGCACCCACATTGGGATGTATGTAGCAATCAATAAACTGAGACCAAGCTTGTCTGAAAGTTAAAAATGTTATAAAAAACGGGCTCCATGATTGTGGTTTGCGAGGTGGTAAAGTATAATACAAAACACAATGGCCTGCATTGGTGGGTCACGGTTTTAATGAATATAAACTTGTATATTTTCTTTTTTGTTTCCTCACAGAGTACTTTGGAATTGTGTATTTTCAATGGCACTTTTTATGGGACATCTTTTGGTGGGGGAGAATCTCCAGGACAAAAAAATGCAGGAACTGATAAAAGGCCATACCTTATTCCTTGGGCGTGTGAGTGAACAAGTATAATGTCCCGTCATCTGACAATTTTAATTATGTGCACCAAATATCACTCTTGTGCTTTAGGCCCTGTATGCACGGACTTTATCCTGTATGTAAGCAGTGTACAACAAACCTTTTATAAAGCATTTGCAAACCTGTCAGCGGTCTTGAAACCTTTAAAGCATCCTTCTTCTCCATTTTGAGAAGTTACTAATAGACATTTGCATTCTGTACATCAACGCTCCCAGGTACAGGTCACAATGCAGAGAGAACATTAATCGATGTTGCAGCTGTGACTTATATAGTGCTCTCCCCTGCACAGTTCAGTGACAGTCAAGGTCTCAGACTAATGAGCAGGCACCAGCCAGCATACTTCACTATATTGTGATCACAGACTGGAGGTTTGCCCACAAAACAAACCTCTCAATCTTTTTTTTTTTTAAATCAGATCGTTTTTATTAAACAGTTTTGTAAACAAACAGCAACCATCAACAACGTATATAGACATACAAAAAAACAAAACTTCACCAAATGTCTATAAGTCCCCATTCACACTGACCCATTCACCTGGAGCGCATTTCCGCGCAATCGATATAGCGCGAATTTTCGGGTGAGGATCGCACGACCTTCACTATTGGGCTGCATGCAAATGGAGCAAAAATGTGCGACATCCACGGCAAAAAGGGTCCTGCACAAGCGACGAGCGACAGGCAACATTGAGCTGTAGAATAGAACAGCTCCATTGAACGAGTGAGTTCTCGCGATATCGCGCCGCAATATGCACGATTTTGTGGGTGGAAATCCGCTCAGTGTAAATGGGGCCTTAGGGGCGTCCCGACATGGGGACCATAAATAGCCACAAGAATATAGGTACACAGATGTGGAATCACCACGGAGAGTGTATAAACATACTGGACACCCGCATAAGCAGAGGATGCAAAAGCAGTGGTAAACATGTTATAGAGACCTTGAGATTGCTAAAAGAGACACAACAAAAAAGTAGTAGCTACTGAGATCTAAAGGTTAACCATGAGGACCAGACTAATAAGAATTTACTATCAAGCCCTCTCCTCTGGTACGTTATAGGTTCAAAAGCAATAATCCTATCTAATTCTGACATCCACTGCGAGACAGATGGCGGGGAGTGCGATATCAATTTCCATGCAGTGAGTCTCCTGGCAGTAAATAAGGCTCTATGAATAGCTGCCTTCAAATGAGTAGTCAATATGGGGGAATCTATTCCTCCTAAGAGGCAGGTAAGCGGTGAAAAGTCAAGGGAGACTTTAAAAATTGAGTTAACCAGTGCAACTACGTGGCTCCAGTACCTGACTAATTTGGGGCAGCTCCACAGAAGATGTATCAGGGAACCCTGGTGAAATCCACATTTCGGGCAAGATGGATCATCTCGGACACCAATTTTAATGAGAAATTCAAGTGTACTGTACGATCTATGTAAAATGAAAAGTTGTGTAAGAGTAAGACGGCGGGTTGCGGAGAGTGAGGTCAAGGGTACATACTGGAGGATGTCCTCTTACAGCTCATCAGTAATAGGTTCGAGATATTCTGAATCCATACATCTCTCGCTTTAGTCATTAAACAAGAAGTAGAATTATGCAGTAGGTTGGAATATATAAATTAGATAATACCATTCGTGTGTGTTGACTGAACCAGTGCATCTAACACCGGAGCGGGGGAAATAGGCGGAGGAGCCACCCCAAATTGAGACGGGAGGGCATGTCTAACCTGAAGGTATTTGAAAAAGGGTCTGCTATGAATGTTATATTGAGACTCGAAGTGGGAAAAGGAGCACAGGAAACCATTGACATTGAGCTGGTCCACTTTACGTATTCCATGCAACATTCAGTATCCCGGTTGCCTAGTGATGGGTGGTGTTGCATTCAGCTCTGGCAGCTGCCCACAAGCCAGGACTGAAGTCAGAGTGACACACCATGTGTGGAAAGCCGGGCAAATCCCCATGCATGCGCATTAGGTCAGTCATGCCCACTTTAATACATTTGTGTTGCCTAATTTGTTTTATCATTTTCTAAGGTTTTGCCATTCAATAAAACTAATATTGTCCTCTTGTTGTTTTTTTGTGTTTTTTCTTTTAGTGTCTGGAACAATTTACAGATATAAAGACAGCTAAACCATTCATGGCGGTTGTGAATGCACTTCACAAATGCAGAAATGAAGTTGCTAACTCTGTATTAAGGTAAAATAGAACTACATATTGTTTTGCTTAAACTGTATGTTAAATATCTAAAGCCAAAAGCCCAAGACAATGGAAGGACTCATTTCTTCCTCTCCAGGCTACTCACTTCCAGCAAGGCATCTTCACATGCCACTTATGACCTGTTGGACAGCTTTGATTGTTGAGCAGTCACAGTCATTCCTTGAGGGTCGGGGCTCTACTCCTCCACATGGATTTTATCCTGGGCTGAGAGTTGCACTCAATGCTCATTATGCAGGTTATGCTGAGAGAAGTGGATTCCAGCATAGCTTTGCTCCACATCATACAACACTAGTGGGGTGACCAGACTGCATCTTTCAATATGTAGAGCAACGCAGTCCTACCCACAAGTAAAGCTGTGTAACACACAGTTATACTCTTGTACAAAAACGGTTGTTTCCAGTATATTTTTTTATTCACTAAAAGTTAACAGGGTCACGCTGACAATCGTTTAGACCATAGTAATTAAAAAACAAAAAACAAAGAAAGGAAATGTTTTTGTCGATTGAATAAATTCCAACAAAGAATGTGGTTTTCGTTTTAGGAAACCCCATACATTTCCCAAATTGAATATTACAATCAAAGTTTTGAATGACAATCATTAAGTCTCTGATAGCATTATCGAATGTTCTGATGAGATTTTTCGTACGAATATTCATAGGAAAATCTACTAATGTATACCCAGCTTAAGACTTTACTTTAAGGCTAAGTTTACCTTTCCGCTCATGTTTCATGTTACACCCATGTTTAGGGTACAACAGGAAACATGGGTAGATCACAACCCCCCCTTTCGCCTCCCCCACACTTACCTGAATCGTGGGGTTCTTCTCCCCGCAGACATTTTTCAATTCGGCATTGCTATGCTTGGCTCTGCCCGCACATCCTTGTCATCCATCTTTGAATGGAGAAAGAATAAGTCCCATCAGCCACCATGTCAGATTGCGGTTGCAATGCTTTACTGGCTCCTATGCAAAAAATAAATAAACATTTTTTTCTTTTATGAAGAAGTGTGCATTTATTGTTTTTTTACAGTAGAATGTCCCTTTATTAGGCAAAAATTAGAACAATTAAAATAGTTCCGTCAACATAAAAAAAAAATAAAAAAAATATTTGCAGTAGAGCTCTGCATTACATACACATTCCCCTTGTTTTGGCCCTTTAAAAAAATACCTGTTGATTTGCCAGATATCCGGTGAGCTCCTAAATACTGTTTGAGCTGACAACTCAGTGTCTCTGCTGCACCCAAACAGTGACGTCAGTGTACCACTGCCTCTTAAAGTGGACCTTTACCCCCCATAGCGATGCATGCTGATATGAAATCATCTTACATTTATTAGTTAAACATGCTTCGCTTTTACTTACAATTACTGTTTTTCCACTTCCTGGTCCTCTTGGGCATCAGGGATGTAATCTGCGCCCAAGCATTGCATCCTGGGAAGGTTACATCAGCCGTGCATTGCTGGAAAATCTAATCTGTAATCTCACTAGATCTCAGGGAAAGGCATTTTCTTCCCCTGAGATGATGTGTATAGTCACATGTCCTGGTCACATATGACAGAGTTCCAGGAAGTAAAGGGATATTAATCTGCCCTTAGTAAAAATGGCCCCATAAGAAAAGTAGGGAGAACAAAAATAAGATATGTAAGATACGCAAAGAATAAAAAGCATGCAATTATCTATAAGTATCTGTTTATAGATTGTCATTACTAAACATTTCTTAAGGTGTGTTTGTTGTCATTTCAAAGATACGGGTAAAGTTCCTCTCTAAGATGATAAAGGAGGGAGTTCTGCAGGCCAGCAAAACTCTCAGTGAGGGCTGGCAACACTGCTTTTTCTATTCATATTGTTGGTTAATAGAGACTGCGCCTAAAACACCAGGTGCTGATAATTGATCTGTGGTGTCACCACTCAGTGCTATTTGATTATCATTTAAAGGGAGTCCATACAGAAAAATATTGAGTTTAGAAAGCAGTGCAATGGATTTTTCATGGATATTGTATGCAACTTGTGCTTCAAGGACAACAGACCACCAGATGATGAGGTCATACACCATCTAATATCCTTTCTATTCGACAAGCCTGGTAAGCAGAATATTTTATTATATTAGTATCTTTTTTACTGAGAATGTATAGTGTTTTGTGTATTATTTATGTATTTTGTTAGTCAACTTTTCCCCCCACCTGATAAAAAAAAAGCTTAGTTTTATTATTTCAGTAAAAATGGTCAACAAAAAACAAGAATGTTTGTAAGGTCGAAGCATAGGATAGGTAATCCTTGACTTCAGGGAAGGATTGTCAGTATCACAAAGTATGTCTCCACCAAGAACAACCAGTGAACAGCTGAAGGTTGAAGCAGAATACTCTTAACCTTCGAATGCAGGGAAATGGAGAAGCAAAATAAAACAGCCCTCTCAGTAGTGATCTAAAGGGAGAGAGGGAAGGAAACCTTCAATGTAAAACAATGAGTACCAAGTATATTAATGAAAGAGTGGAAAGATTCACACACCTATAGAAAATGGAGGGAAGTAAGGATACACAGTAATGTACAGAGAGAAAGAAAGAGAGGTCAGACTGATATAGAGAAGAAATGGGACTTTCATGTGGTAAAAAGGTCCTGTGAGGGCCTCTGGACACACAGGTTACCAGTTAGTGGAACACTGTAGTTGTGTAACTGCCTAGGTTGTCTCTATTGGTCTTCAAGGGAAGTATAGAACAAGAGGATACAAAAAGGATATTTCATCGAGAGGAAGAAAAATAAGTTGTATTGTAGAACAAAAGCCTCACTGAATAAGGGTGAGAGTTCAGGTGCAGGGATCCAGAAACAAGAGTTTGCACCCTGCATGGAATAGTGTATATACTATGTCCAAATAGAAGAAGGTTTCTAGATGAAGGAAAGGGAAAGGGAAAAATTCCCATCCTTTTCAGAAACCAACATAATTAATGAGAGCTGCTCGATCAAGTACGATCAGTTGTGTTGTTGTTATCATACATACATCATATGTACAAAGGAAAGTATGTTAGTGGAGTTCCCATAAATTTCACAATCATTTATTGGCAGAATGGGGTTGAGTTTGTTGTACTCAATAAACCCAATAGATAACAGGAAACTTCCATAAACAGAACACTAAAGCATTTGAGTGAGAATCTATGAAGCATTCCGTGATGGGGAAGCTGGGAACACTATTGCGGATGTAATAGTCAGTGCTGTGACAGAGACCTGAATCCTCAGGAAGCTCAAGTCAGATGAGGCGATCGACCATGTAGGTCAGGAATTTCTTCTTGAGAGAGACACGACTCTGGAGATATAAGCACCACTAGAATGCAGAAAACAAATAGACTTTTTAATAAGAGAAGGAGGGAGAGTACCTCAAACAAGGCTCCAGGTACCATAGGAGGACAAAGCCAGAGGAAGAGGAGAGCTTACATAATTCAGAATTGTGTTGTACATGTGAGAAACATTTTGCTGATTTATGAGGTAGTGCAACTGTAACAACTGTACGCTTAAAGATTAACTCCAGCTTTAAACATATATATACTCTGCGGCTTACTGACACAATGCCCACAGGTCTAGAAAGCACCATAATGCATAGCCCAGTGCCAGAAGGTCACATTCCAGTATAACTTCACCCTCACCATGGGATTACTCACAGAGTGAGTCGTAAAAGACTGGTAAACTTGTCAAAGAGGCTGTGACACAACTCTGAACTGTTCTGCTGCTGAGAAACAAGTGCACTAGATTTTCGGGGTTACCACAGGCAGAGCCCAGTCCCTAAGGTTCACATTACCGGCAAGCCGCACAATCTTTCACCCAGCAAGGCCCGTGTACGGCCACCAAGGCAGCACTGAAGATTAGCCTATTTAGGTAGCTGCTGCCCTCTTTAGAAAAAAACCTCTTGCTTTATAAATCCAGTGTCATGTGGGCATCCTGTAATAAATGTTTATTTTCAAACAAAAAAAATTATATGACCATTTAGAAAACATATAAAAAAATTGTCAATGTAAACTTAAAAGTAAATGTATCCATAACCATTACAGTTGTCTTTAGGTAAACTTTCTGTTCTTTCCAAAAATAGATTCTGTAAGTCACACACGGTCTCTTTCCCCCTTTGAGGATGCTGTGGACAAAACTCCAGTGATACGCTCTGTCATATTGAAACTGCTGCTGAAGTACAGGTAAACAGGAAATCTAATAAGGACATTCGGCCATCTTGTACTCTTTTGATTCTGAAATGATTGGCTAACATATGTTTGTTTTGGCTCTGCTTATTTTAGCTTTGACAATATAATGAAACATGCACAAGATTATTTAGACAGAGTCAAAAGAAGCAATCTTCTCAAACTCGCAGACACAAAAGAAGTATACCTGCTATTCATTAACTGTCTGGAGGTAAGACTTTCCTATAGTAGGTTCCTGACTTTTTCATGAGGCTCATATAACAGGTGGCAGTACTGGATACCATGAGAATGTATAGCCAAATGTAAATGTTACATTATTTTCACATTAAGTACTCACATTCTGGTCCTGATGTTTGCCCCTCCAAATCCACAGTGCAAAAACATACTGACTGTGTGTGTATTGGCTTTTCAACATATTTAAGGAGGCAAACATTAGATCCCAATTCAAATAGTGCCTACAGATAAAGGTGATTTACTTGAACAAATGGCACATACATTGACATGTGTATTAATTTTCATGATCTAAATTAACAAAAATGCAGATTTGTCATTTGGGAAAAGTTAATACACACCTACATTAACCACCACTTAGAAATTAGAATCCAGTGTTCCAGATTAGGGGCCAATGGCTAGAACCTGCTTAGGGAGTATGCAGGTGGAACCTGTCTTATTTGAACCTCAGACTTCTAGGGTCTAGTGTTCTCTTTGCTACTGATGTGTGGAGTCATCATGCCAAGATCAATAGAGCTCTCTAAGTCCCTCAGAAAGAAAGTTGTGGATGTCTATGAATCTGACAATGGATTTAAAGAGATAACCAAATTCAGAATAAATCATTCCACTGTAAAGAAAATAAACTACAGATTTAATAAAACTGCTAATTTGTCCAGGACTTGCCAGCCCAGCAAATTCAACCTAAGGGCTGACCATTTGTTGCTGAAAGAAATCTCTAAGGACCCCAAAATCTCATTGCGGGTTGTTCAGATAACTATTGCAACAGTTGGGTGTCAAAGTGCATTCATCTACAATTAGAAAGTGATTGCACCCTTTGAATTTGCAGGAGAGATGTGTTAAAGTGGACCTTTACCCCTTTCACTAAAAATCACATCAGCATGCAGCCCTGCATGCTGATTGAAAATCATCTTACATTCATTAGTTAAACAAACATGTTTTTCATTTACTTACAAATAGAGTTTATCTACTTCCTGGGCCAGTTCTGGCACAAATTATGTAAGTGCCAAAGCATTGCATCCTGTGAAGGTTATATCAGCAGAGCATTGCTGGGAAATCTCATCTGTAATCTCATGAGATCTTAGGGAAAGGCATTTGCCTCCCCTGAGATGATGTGCATGGTCACATGTCCTAGTCACATGTCTAGTTACATGTGCCACAAATCCAGGAAGTAAAAAGAGAGCTAGTAACATGCCCTCGGTAAACATGGCCAATATCAAAAGACTGGGGAAGAAAAGAGATATAAGGAATGCAAATAATACAATGTCTGCAATTATCTAAAAGTATATGTTTGGAGATTGTTATTACTAAACATTTCTAAAGGCGTGCTTGTTGTTATTTTAAAGATATGGGTAAATTTCCTCTTTAAGAAACAGCCTTTGCTGTCCACATTGAACATTAGCAAGATTACAGTTGGACATTTAATCAAAGATAGAGTTGTTTGGTCACAGTAACAGTAGACATGTTTGTCATCAGCCGAAGAAAGCATTTCAGAGAAGAACTTAAACAACTGTAAGGCATGGTGGTGGAAATGTTATGGTTTTGGGTTGCTTTGCTGCTTGAGGGCCTGGGCAGCATGTAGTCATCGAGTATACACTGATTATTATGACCACCCCATCAGTACTTCGTTGGGCCACGAGATGACTCCACGAGATGACTTTGTTGGGCCGCCTCGTGACTCCACGAGATGTTGAAAGGTGATGCGAGGAATCTGACACTGCACTGTTGCCCTTCTGTTGTCTTGTACCAGTCTTGCCACTCTCCGTTCTGCCCTAACATTGACTAGTCGCTGACGGCCACAATTCGCACGTTCAGACCCAGATTTTTGGCTGACAGTCCAGTCTTTAAACACTTCAACAACAGCTGCTCTTGAACATTTAACAAATTCTGCTGTTTTGCTGATACTCGCTCCATGGCTCTGAGTGCCAACAATCATCCCACGCTCAAAGGCTGTTAAATCACGTTGTTTACCCATATCTTCAGAGAAAAATCACTTCTACTGTCGTGATAAACAACCTGCTTCCCTATTTATAATGGTCTGGCCCTCTAGCAACTTCAGCGCCAAATTATTGCTAATTTGCCTGCAAACGTCAGGTGGTCATAATAATCTGGCCACTCAGTGTACATTCGGCATCATTTTAGAGTGGGCTTGATGAATATGTGAGGCCATGTGTCCAAAATGTAAAGTTAAACTGGAAGTGAGACTTTCAGCATGATAATTATGCAAAATCACTATCTATGGAGGCACAATCAATGCATCCAGGGATAGCGATTGTTTCCTAACTGCTTGTAATCCTATCACATACAACTACATGCAGTGTGTCGCCGTTCTGTAAATGCACCGGCTTTCACCCAGCCATTAAATGGGTGATAGCTGCCCCTTGTAAATGGCAGAATAGGGATTCCTGCTGCACGAAATTGCAGGTACCCGATGCAGAGTACCTAATTGAAATGAATAGAGCCTTATACTGAGAGTTCAGTCAGGCTTTAAAGCATAAGTCAGTACACTAAGTATAATCTGTATATAACTGTCTGTAGAGCTTCATTATGAGGCACACCAGCATCTCATAGTTTATGACTAAAATCGTCAGAAATCCTCTGAGCTGTTCAGGTGCATGTGCACCACGGATCCATTCATTTCAATGGAAAGTTTATCCCCAGGCTGACAAATGGGCTTCCAGTTAAGATGATTGGAGGTTACATGCGCATGCGCAGCACATTTTTCTTGGTGGATTTCTGAAAGCTTCAGCCAGGAACTGTATGGTGCTGTGTTTATCACTGAATGGAAACATCTGGGCAGCGGTATGGTAGACTTTTATATATGTAACATATGCTCAGTTTGCTGGGGAGGAGGTGTAGAAAAGTGCTTTTATCTCTAAATGTCATGTTTTTCTGTTCACGTTTAACTATATGTCCAAGCTAAGTGAGAGATCTAATGGTATTCTTCTAATGAAGGAGACACATGTTTACTATGACAGTCTTTTATGTGTGATGTCAAGATCATATTTGTGTTCTATATGTTATATTATTTTATTATAAGTTGGGATTTATTGCAGGATTCACTATATGAAAAAAAACAAAAAGTTCCAAATGAGGATGAAAAACTTAAATACTTTGAATTGGAAGCATTGTTTTTGCAAAATTACTTAAGAAGCAGCAAGTGGCAAAGAAATGAGGAGACATCAGTACAGCTGCTTCAGGATGTGGCCAGAGTGAGGCTGGCACTTGATGTGGCGGCAGAAATGATGTCAGTCAAACTGAGAGGTACATGGGACAAGCATATATTTGATCACATTCCTGATATTATAAGTTACAGTGGGCAGTAGGTGTGAGATCACAGTGCAGAAATGACTGTTTTATAGTTTTCAGTGCTGACAGATTAGCAGGCTTACATATCAGTGGATGAATAGTACCTTTAGGCATTGATGCATCATGCAGTGGATAAGGTAGGTATGCTGCTGTCGGCCAGCACCCAGCTTTCTGGTTGGTACCAATGAGTTTGGGCATGCAAATATGAGCGGTGTCCTTTTCACAAACTTTTCTATTTGGGGACACAGCAAGCTTACTATGCCTTCAGTTAATTACATACGCTCAGCTATTAGTACTGATCGCTGAGTGTTTGTGCTTCACTCTCCATCATGACTACTCTGCCTGTCACAGGAGGGCAAGCTCTCCTCCTGCACCGCCCCGCTAGGCCTCCTGACAGCACTTTCCTCTCCAGCCTGCTCGGCCTCCTGACAGCTGTCTCTTCTCCGCTCGGCCTCCTGATAGCTTCTCTCCTCCCTGCTGTGCGCCGGCAGCTGGATCGGCTTGGTGTCCCATCTTATCCCCGCTGTCTCTGCTGTCACAGGCGGGGGAGAGCAGCGGGGATCGAAGAAAACACTGACCGGCTCCCAGCAGGGAGAAGAGAAGCTGGGGATGCACCAGATTTTCAGCTGCATTTTTGGACATTTTGGTACTATCATATTTTGCCCATAGTACCATTTTTGGTCAAAATGTTTTGGCGGCCGAAATTTCGGTGCATCCCTATTCAACACCTTTAACGTGTCAATAAAGTTGCATACCGTATTTGCCGGCGTATAAGACGGGTTTTGAAACCTTAAAACATCACCCATAGTGGTCTTGTACGGCGGGTACATACAGAAGGATATGGTATACTGTATGTAGCTTTGGCTACATACAGTATACGGCGCTGAGCCAATCACGGCAAATAATCCTGATTGTGGCTCGGGATTACTGCTTATGGTACTGAAAATTAACCCCGAGCCACACTCTGGAATACCGCCATGGATGTTAGTGGGTGCATTTGAACATTATTTTGGGCTATACTCGTCTTATACGACGAGTATAGCCCAAAACCTATTTTTTTACCCCACAAAAAGTAGGGGGTCGTCTTATACGCCGAGTCGTCTTATACGCCGGCAAATACGGTACTTTTAGATTGTAAGCCCTCATGGGCAGGGCCCTCCTTACCATCTTGTCTTGATTTGTATTGTGATTTTAATGTCTTCCTTATATTGTAAAGCTCTGCGCAAACTGTTGGCGCTATATAAATCCTGTATAATAATAATAATACTTTGTAATCTTGAAAACAAGAAAAACACTGAAAGATCAGAGTCTGAAGCTTGACGTAAGCATTAGTGAATCGGCAGCAGGCCAGCTTTGCTTAATATACTACATGGGTTGTTGGTTATGTTGAGAATTTTATCTCTGATGACTGATTTGCATAATGTAAATACTACCTTCCTTTTCTGTCATAAATTCGGTGGTTTTATTGTACAATTGGGGCACATTACTGATCCTGGCTATTGAACTGTCTTCCTGTGTAGCATTGTTACTGAGTTAGTTTATTACTTAATATTGGACTTTTGTTTCAGGATCCAAAAATGAACAGTACCTGAGATGTGTGGAGGATTTATGCTCCCAGTCTGGCAATGATTGGTACAGAGTCTATCTAATACGCAAACTGGCTAACCTGGAGGGCATAGACATGGTCCAAAGACATTTTAAAGATCCTAAATTCAGATGGCTGTTCCCTCGAGAAATGTTGCAGAAAACGGTAACACATTAAAAAGTATCTAAACCCAACAACACAAATGTTATATATTACAGAGTACTGGTCCTTAGATTCATCAGTAACTGAAAATACCTGTTGATCATGCCAGAAATGCATTGTCCTTGTCACTTGCTGTGAGCGTAAACGAAAGCTCAAACATCCTTATCTTTTTTTGTGTAAACTACTACTCCCACTAATACACCAGGGCCGTCTTTAACGCACGGCAAAAGGGGCAGCTGCCCAGGGCCCAGTCATTGTTGTAGGCGTGGGGGGGGGGGGGAGGGGGGGTATAGGAGGGGGGGGCCGAAGAAAATGTTTCCAGGGTCCAATCAGTATTAAAGACGGCCCTGTAATTCACAATGTTATGGAGGTGATCAAAGGCAGACTTGTTTGATGTCCAGCCTGTGTGTGCCCCCATATATACAATGGAGAAATGAGCATAGCCACGAAGGGACAGGATGAGTGTTATTTGCAGGTCAATCAAGTATAAATACATTTTAAAAAAACATGAAAAATGAAAACGAATGCAGCCACCTCATCTTAGAAAAGGTAAGCTATTAGGTTTGGATTTTGTTTTCCCTTAATAATAAAAACCTTCCTTTAAAAACTGCATGTTGTGTTTACTTGTGTAATGTTTGACTAATATTTAAATTTGTTTGATGATCTGAAACATTAAAGTGTGACAAACGTGCAAAACAATGAAAAATCAGGAAGGGGGCCAACACTTTTTCACACAACTGTAGGTGTGTATATCTCTTCCTTAAAAGGGACTTGGCACTCCACCCCTCTTTGTTTCACATTAAAGGAGTTAAATCTTAAACATTCTTTCAAGTACCCTAACTAATAAAAACTGTAGCTTATTTGTGCATCACCCAGCTGTAGATCCTCAAATCATCTCTGAATTGGTGCTGACACTGTTCTTCCTTCTGGAGGGTGGCTACTTTTGTTCCCCATGGTCCCTGTGTGTTTTGTAAAGTAGTCACTGAGCCAAACTCGCTCCTGTGATGGACTAAAATCACAATACAAATTAGTAGACTAAACCTGAGATTGTAATCCATCACGAGACAGAGCTTGGAACAGTAGCTACTCTACAAAACATACGGGCACCAAAGTAGCTACCCTCCAAAAGGAAGGACAGTTTCAGCAAAAATTCAGAGAAGATTTGAGGATCTACAACCGAGTTCCAGTACCCGCTGTGTGCTGTGCTCAGGACCTTCCGGGGTTCGGTTCTGAACCCAGTGAAGTTATCATATGTCCTTGAAGATATCTTTAATTGAATAACCTTTAAACATGAACAAGCATGCAAAATTCCATTCAGAATATTCAGAAGTCCGTTTGGCACTGTCAGACTAATTTAGTACACCGAAACCCAACTCACTTGTATTTTAATGTTGCACTAGTGACAGTGTCTTAGCAAATAGCATCCCTCCAACCCCTTTACTCACCTTGCCTGTATTCCCTCCCCACTCCTTCCTTTGTCACAGGCAACACTACCTAGTGTCCTGGGTAAGGGGGAACATATGAGCTGCTCCCGTATTACATTGCCTTGGCTTAGCAGTTGATTGCTACACCTGAGCACCGTCACGTGAGTGGCCAGCATCACTGATTTTAGGAGGATGGAGTGGCAACCGAGTGCAGGCCAATGTGTATAGGGGTGTCATTTGTAGGGACTCTGTCATTATGCTCTGCATGGGCATGGTGGCAGTGTCTCTTTTATTTTCTCTTGTGTCCATTGTGGTCAAATGGAAATAAAGCTCTGCTAAATTAAAAGCACACTTTGACTATGAGCGTTGGCACTGCTATGTTGTAAAAAAGGCTTATGAGATATCCTATTAATCAAAATACCTTTTTTATCTTTTCTGGGTAAATATCTGTGGCTGCTGCAATTTCATGAATGTTGCATTGGGAAAAGGTACAGAACCACAATTATCAAAAGCTGCTACCAAAAAGATCTCAAGTATTTTAGTGTCAGACCACATAGGAAAAAAGTATATGTTGCAATGCAAAAAAATAAATTAATTAATAGCTGGAACTATGGGGGGAAGGAAGGTTGTTGTGTACCTAAAGTTTTCAAAGTGGCAGTATATTCAAACCCAAAACTAGAAATTGTAGATATTGCAGCTTAACAGTCCTTAGATGTAGTGGCTGCATTAGTATTCTTTTATTCTAGGTTAACTGCATTCTCTGCAATTACAGAAATCTTGTGTCCTTGTAACCTGTGCACCGAACTAAAATCTCAAACAGTGATATTAGCTTTACAGTTATCTTCTGTAACCTACAAAACACCTCCCCTCTGTGTAATGGAGATGAAAAAGGTTTGTAGCCTAAGGCCTCATTCACACTAGACACAGTGCGTTCCGGCCCGATTCTGGCCACTGCATCGCATTGCGGCCGCCTCACTATGTTGTGGGGCAGGAGGGGGCGTGACGGTCCATTGAAGTGAATGGCACTGTAGCTACACCCTCCGGCTGCAATGCGGTCGGCCACACAGGAACGCAAGGCACATTGTGCCTGTGGTCCGGTCCGATCAAAATAGTGCTTGCAACATTTTGATGGGACCGCACCGCAGTCATAATGTGCCTTGCGGTCAGTGCGCCCAGAGGGCGTGGCTATGGTGCCATTCACTTCTGCCCCACAAGATAGTGAGCAGGCCGCAATGCGATGCAGTGTGTTCTGGCCACAATCGGGCTGGAATGCATTGTGTCTGGTGTAAACGAGGCCTAAATCAAAAGAACAGTTTAGGGTAGCAGCTCTACTCCTTTAGACAGTAGATGTAGTGAAATACATCAGAGATGTCACCTTAGCACAAAAAGTGTGTATTCGCAGAAAGGGAAAAAAGCCCGTTGGCTTTTGGGTTTAGATACATTTTAAGTTTTGGACAGAGTAGAAAGGGGTTAGAACCTGTCTTTTACTTTTGCTTTTCTCTCTTTCTTATCTCTATTGTGAACTATTTCCCTTATTAAATGAAGTGTCTGTATCGCTCTCTGTGGGCCATTTAAAAAAAAATTCACCTCACTTCCCTACAAGGAGGCCATTGTCAGTGAGGACAGTGAGGGTATAGCTCTCAACGGGAACACAAACAACAGTAGCACTTAACAGATGTTCTGACCATTCTTCTACTTTTAACATTTAACAATAAACACAGTATGGTACAAAAGTATGAAAACATATAATACAAAGGGGGTTACAGGATCAAGCAAAATAGACAGAGTTAGGGTCAGCAAGGTGTAACCCTATAAGCCCCCTCTACTTTGTTTAATGCCCCCTCTGTGTGGTCAGATGCAGTGCCAACACACCACAAAGGCCCGAAAAACGTGTTTGTACCTTTTTGACTATACAGCACACCACAGCACATGGTAATGCTTTACCATCAAAGGGTGCATTGATTTAATGCATTGGCATCCCATTTAAAATAAACAGCAACACAGCACATCATGGTATCTGTGTTGTAACACACCTCAAATGCATTTGTTACCACAATGCAAATACATGCCGTGGCCAGAAAGTAAAAAACAATTGGCTAGAATTCAGTTAAACAGGCAGTTCTGTGCCACGGTATTGGAATACAGTTGCAGTTCTTTACTGCTTTTTGAGTTTAGTTTAGCAAATGGGGTTGATTTACTTAGATACTAAGGAATGCCCACTTTGCCAAGAGAATTTTCACTTAGCTTACTGAATGAGATGATGCTAATCGAAAATACACTTTGCAAAGATTACCCAGTCAAGTGCAAGGAAAACAAACTTTAAAAAACAGAACAAGAAAAGGGGATTTTTGAACACGTGGTTGAAATCACCACAGCTTCATCTTATTCACCCTGCAAAGTGAAAATGTTCTACTCCTTTAGTAAGCCGACCTGATTGTGTTATTTTGTCAAGGCTATTTGTCATCCTTTTCTCAGTGTGTAATAATATTTGAAAATGTAGAACAGTAGATGAAATATACAATGTACTGTATATGTTAAATAATCTTGACGTTCATTACCCTGTGGGTGCCATGTTTGTTATTGCAGGACACTGAGACAAATCACATTGACCATTTCTTGGTGTGTAGAGAAAGTTACAAAGTACTGAGGGAAGGTATAAGCAGAGCAATGATGGAAGGCAAAGAAGAAAGGATTGCAACTGCCATGGAGGTATCCCAGGTTTATTTTATATATGCGTTCATATATCCTAACATATTTCATCAAAGCTGAATTCCAGGCAGATCTAAAAAACACAGTTAGGGCAGTTATGACTTCTTGAAAAACAGAAAATAATGCAATGTATTTTTAAATGCAGCTATTGGAAGCACATTGTCTTTATGAATGTACAGTAGCTATTGGAGGCACCTTTTCTTGATATCAGCCACCTGTCCTTCCTTGCATAGCAACATTCAGGCCAGGGGAGACAAAGTCAAAGTGCTATTAAGGCTCTACTGCAATGACAGTAAATCTGCTAACAGGAGGAGTGAGCGGGAGAAGAAAGATGACCTCATTGGTGTGCTGATGCTCCTCCATTGCCCAGTTAGCAGGTTGGAAATGTAATTTGACTGGTTAGCTTAACTAAATTGTACTGCAATGGTAGCTTGAGGATGTGGCTATTCTGTCAGGCATGGGTACCTCAATTACAAACCTGGCTGTAGAAAATGAGAAGTTAGAACAGTCCACATATATGTAATTCAATTATTTAGTTGTATACCTGGAGTTTAGCTTTTTGATCCACCTGTTCTGTGCATCAGTACTTTCCAGACTTGGGTTTGTCATATATTGTTACTATTACATTTAAATTGCAATAACGCATCTACCAACCACATGTTACAGTGGAGTGTTAGCAGAACTTGCTGTCATCACACAGTTTTGATTAAAAACTCTGTTAGAAAATCACAAATCTTCCTGCCTCCCTGTGGGTTCACCATATCTCTCCTTTTCATTGCCAACTCAAACTGATCAAGATTTTGAGCTCAAACAGGGAATTTGAAACAATGAGTCTGCTTGTGTTCTGAGAAATATCCTTTGTAGAAGGGTAGAGAGATCCCCTACTCCTTGTTCATGAAGTAAGTGCTGGATGATTGAGCCTGTAAAGCAGGCCTCCACTCTGACTTCCTGTTGCATCTCGAAACATATGACTTAAAAAAATAACCAGCTAGGGGTTTTAACCCTTCCATATTTTATCCAAAGCTAAAAAGAAAAATAAGTTTTGGCCATACATACACTTAAACTGAGTTCACTTCAGTTCAGTTTTTACTCCCTGTCTTTGTCCACAGTACCGCTAGAGACATTACAGGTTTCCAAAATCTTGGCCCCACTCAGTTCCGGAGCCCCTCTTTGAGTTATTATGCTCTTCTGTCCTGAGCCTCAACTGAGCTGATCAGGTGTGTAGGAACTATTCTTACAGACAGCAATCACCACTCCCTGAATTGGACTGTGCACAAGCCAGTTTTCATTTCAGGGGTGTAAAAAACTGCTGCATAGAACTGCAAATGTCTCTTCTTAAAGCTTATGGCCTTAAATATAATCTTACTTATTTATGATTACTGCCTTCAGTTTGGATTTCTTCTTTAGTTCTGAACTTATTAGCGCTGTACAATATTTGTCTTGTGCTTCTTTTTAAAGGAATGTAAAAACCGGGATCAAAAACTGGCTGTCCACCTCCTACTCGCTGTATTCCGTGAAATAACCTTGTGCTATGGGGTCGGTAATAATGGTCAACAAAATACATCACCTGTAAGTAATGTGCTAAACTACAAATGCCTGTGGTTTTATTTATTTCCTATTGTTTTATTTATAACATGTATTGTGTATCTGTACACACTCTAAAAAGGATCCATCATATTGTTTTATTTATAACACATGTATTGTGTATCTGTACATACTCTAAGAAGGATCCATCATATTGTTTTATTTATAACATGTATTGTGTATCTGTACATACTCTAAGAAGGATCCATCATATTGTTTTATTTATAACACATGTATTGTGTATCTGTACATACTCTAAGAAGGATCCATCATATTGTTTTATTTATAACACATGTATTGTGTATCTGTACATACTCTAAAAAGGGATCCATCACAAGAGAGTGTAAACAGAAGATGTTCAAGTATGCGCCAATGTATCTTGGATATAAATACCCCAAGAGAACCCAAATATAATAGCATGAAATATATCCTGTCAATATAGATGTTCCTGGATGCTTGACGTAAAACTGTACTTTCAAGTGAATAAGCTTATTTAATATATCAAGGCAAATTATTTTTGTTAAATATGACATTTAACATTTTACCTTTCTTTTTCACACTGTGAGAACTGCTACCAAGGGTCCTGCTACTTTAAATCCCCTTTAGTTTAATTTAACCTCTTCCACACATACAGGATGGAGAACTAGAGTCGGAAGATTATCTCCTGATCCCTTTAAATGTACACTACTAGTGTAGAGCAGCCTTTCACAGCCAGGCTGCTGTGGCACCCCAGGGCGGTCTTTTGGCCTCCTCAGGGGTGCTTTGAAATTTTCACAGTGTCATGTATTCAAACTGCTGCAATACACAGTAAACTTCTGCTGCATATTTTACCTCAACCTTTCACAGCCGATTATTACTGCACTGTTATGTAAACAATACCTTTTTCTAATATGTCTGATGCAGGAACAGGAGTCTGTGATGGATTTTATAAAAAATGCCAACATTTTCAAGGACGCATCTCTGAAACAATTTTTGGAGACTCTGCTGACCAACAGCCGGCCAGTTGTCCGAGCTCTTCCTGGCATGAGAGGGTCATATGTCACAATCTTTGGATTAGCGGTACACTTGGCCTCCATTCTTCTATCTGGAAATAACCGCCTTTTGGCACCATTAAAAAATCTCTCATTCTCTCCTGCTAGAATGCAGGTACGTTGGGTTGTTTGCATTGTTGCTATTTTTTTTCTGATTAGCAATTTAAAAATATGAGTTTGCTTTCTAAACCGAAGTTCTGAGCTCTGTATACAGGCATTGTAATAGAGCAGATAAAGAGACCCTGGAACAATGTAGTAGGAGGACAAGAGACCACCCTACTGGATGCATTTGAAATTACAAAATATATATATATATATATGATGTCAAAAAAGACAAAAATGCAGTATTGCAGTGTGCGATGATACCTTTTTTATTGGACTAACAAAATATATAAAAGACAAGCTTTCGAGAGTGAACCTCTCTTCTTCAGGTCGGAAGCAATACTGATCAACATGACAGTTTATATATATGTGTATATACAGTAATACCTCGGTTCACGGACGCTTCTGTTCGTGAACAATTCGGTTCGCAAACAAAGTTTGGCAAAATTTTGCTTCCGTTTACGAACTCCAAATCGGGTAATTAACACAACCGTGGCCATCTTCCCCGCTCTGAAACGTGGTCGTGGCTTCCTCTAGTCAGGATCGTGGTCGCAGACAGACCTGTGCACACTTGCTGTGAAGCTTTTTTGTGTGCTTTTTAGCACATACAGTACTGTACAGTATTCTTCAATCCAGCATAGCTCCAAATAAAGTGCAGAGCAAGCATGGTGGTAAAAAGAAAGTGCAGAGCGGTAATGAAGGTGACAAGAATGTGCAGAGCAGTAATGAAGGTAATCAGAATGTGGAGAGCGGTAATAAAGGTTACCAGAAAATGCAGAGCAAGAATGGTGGTAAAAAGAAAGTGCAGAGCAAGAATGGTAAGCAGAGGGTTTGTAGGTGTCAGAACGGATTAACCTTATTTGGATTGAACCTTATGGGGAAATTTGATTCGGCTCCAGAATGGAACGAATTAAAGTGACATTAAACCCTCAGATTTTTTAACATAAACCAATACTGTAATGTGCGCCTTACTGTAATCCATGGTTGTTTCCCTTCTCTTTGCTGCTCTTCCTTCTAAATCCTTATCTCTTCTCTTGCTGGGGAGAACTTCCCTTTGCAGCTGAGTGCCTCTTCCTGTAGTGCTGGCTCAGGTTACAAATCTATACACAGACACTGTGTATCCATTCCAGAGACAAGGCAGTCTGCTGCAAAACAGAAGTTCTGCCCAGCATGAGAAGAGATACGGATTTAAAAGGAAGAGCAGCAAAGATAAGGGAAACAACCATGGATTACAGTAAGGCACACATTACAGTATTGTTTTATGTTACAAAATCTGAGGGTTTAATGTCACTTTAAGTTTGTGAACTGAGGTACCACTGTATAGTGATTCTGTCTTACCTGGAACAACACTCATTCATGTGTGAATCTTTGTAGGACCAACATTATCACCTTAGGACACTCACTCCTTAAGGTGACATTCAGCTTTTTTGCTGCCACTGAGACTGTCCTCTCTTAACCTTAGTACCATGACCAACCAAAGAGCTACTCCCATGTAACCCATGAACTAGAGAGCCATGTCATCGTTCCCAGGCTCTGCTTCTGGTGCAGATCTGGAAGGCAGCCCAGAGTGCCGCAGTGCCAAGTATGGCGTGATTATGTAAACTCATCTAAATGTAGTAGGATTTAACAAAAAAACAGAAATCCCTCATCATTAATATGTTACTTTAGGACATTAATTATACTTTTAAGTTCAAGTAGCTATATAAATATATATTGATTTTTATCCTATTTTAAGAACTCCTTCTTGCCAACCATGCCAGAGGACATGCTTTCGCAGGTTAGAAATGTAATGACAGAACAACTGCACTGGTATCGTAAGTATACTATTTTCACTAATAATTTTGGATACTGTAAATGTCCTTCATGATGGAATTGATCCAGCTAATGCAATTCCATACAAAATACAAAATATCAGCAAATGCTTGGATGGCTTTCCCATAGAGCAACCTTGGCCTCAAGATCTAGGCTCTGTCTCAAGAATAAAAAAAATTCAGTGTGAAACAGTGTTATTTACCAGCTGATCTTTATTATTTGATATTTGAGGCAAACATGAAGTGTAAAATATCTAGCTCAGCAATATCAGCACATAACAGGCACCTCGGGATGCTTGTACGCTAGATCTGTTTCTAAAGGAAAGCACCAATGATGCAATACTGCTGTGCCCTAATATGCTGGGGACGGGACCAGTGCTCAACACAGCTGACCAAAAAGTGTCTGTATATCAGTGCAGCGGGATGCTTAAAGAGATCCTGTGTCCTGACCATTCATTTTAAAAACAGTCTTGTCATAAGATTATATGCAAATTTAACATATTTCAGACATTTTTTATATACTGTAAAAGCGTCCCTCTCTGAGACTTCTGCAGGAGGCCACCATCTTGGAATATCAGCAGCCCTAGCAGACTCAAAACTAAAACTGTGTTCAAAACGAAAAAAAGAAATAAGCTACACAAACACTTTAAGGCAGAACAGCTAATTATAAAGTTGGAATACCCACCCTGTAAATAGATTGATAACAAACAAGCAGAAACTCACTCTGGGCTGCTATCAGCAGTACAGTGCTGCCCCTTTCTTTTCTACGATTGCTGTGCAGGAAGCTACAGAAGGTGGAAATGGACATAAAACCTGATAGTACTAAAATTACAATGAACCATTTTCTTGTAGGCTAGATTTAAAAAAGTGTATATATATATGTATGTGTGTGTGCTCTGCATGCAGATCTACTTTAAGTGTATAATCATGTTACCTTATCTTCTTACAGGTTGTCCCAAGGGCCACTACTGTGCTATTGGAGAGGTAAGCTAAGCTTGACATCACTTTGCACACATTACAATTATGGGAAATATTAGCATGGCTGTGTATTCTTAAAAATGAGAGTAGCCTTTCTCAAGCAAGGTGCCTTCCAACCAAGGTGGGCGCCTTCTCGCTTACTGAGAGATGCCTAAACATGTTTTCACAGCGTCATGCCTTTCTATGGTGCATTTATGCTGGCTGCCAGCACCATTAAAAAGTGTGACACTAACCCAGGAAGGGGGAATCCATTCAGAAAAGGACGGAAGGTTGCCTCCGTCCAGGCATGCTTGGTCTACTATTCAGTGCCATAATGCCACAGCTGCGGCTCCTGATGTGATGTTGGGACTCTGATTCTGAAGAGGGCTTCTGACGTGAAGCGGAAACTCTGTTGTTAAATGAGGGGACTATGATATGAAATAGGGGCTCTGATGTAAAGGGATAACCTAGATGTGAAAGGGGAGCTCCTGATGTAAAGCAATGGCTTGTGATGTGAAGAGGGAACTCTATTGTGAAAGGAGGGTGCTCCGATGTGAAGGGGGGGTCCTAGTGTAAGGAGTGACTCTGATGTAGAAAGAGAGCGCTTCTGATGTGAAGGGGGGATTCTGCTGTGAAAGGGGAGGGGATGCTCTGATGTGGGTACAAGTGAGACTGTTCCTTAGAGAAATGTCAGACAGTGAAAGAATGCAAGGCCAAAGGAGTACCATGAACACTGAGCCACCTACAAACTATTGTTTGCTCCATTGTCAGACTAGAAGGGGGTAGATTATATATAATCATTTTATGGTGACGCACAGTACAGAGCTGACAAATGACTTCTGACCTAATTTGGTCAGAAGCAGTTCAGTGTAACAAATGTATTTACCAAGCAGCAAAAGAGCTTTAAAAACAGCCACCCCTGACCTATCTAGGTGATTCCTAATGTAAAGTGGTTCAATCTCAAAGATTCTCAAAAATCACAGCAAAGGCTCTTAACAGAGTAGAAACACCCGCTGTGTGTTTACATTAGAGGGTTTGCAGCCTGCCAAGATTGTAGTGCTATTGATAGTCTTAAGGAAAGAGCTAAGATTTCAATATTTATGTGGTGAACTTTGACAGTTACATTTCTCCACAATGCATACAGATATAGAGATACGTGGGGGCTTGTTTTGTAGTGTATTTTGTGTTGGTTCAGAATATGGAAACACTTTAGTGTGCATGGGCTGGGGACAGGTTCACATTAAGAATAATAGGCCTATTTGGAAATTAGAACTTTAGGTTTCCTTAAAGTGTATCTAAACCCAAGAATACAAAAATTTAATGTATTACAGCTTACCACTCTTTAGATGTGAGGGCTGAATTTGTTTCTCTTTTTAGGCTTTTTCTCCCTTGAGTTGTAGCTGATGATACTACCAGTAACACACTTCATTTCCTAGGGTGACAAGGCTCTATAACTTACTATATATATA